GGCTGAGGTACGTTGAAAGCCGGGACAGCCTGGGAGACCCCGATTTGATTATACTGCCGGGCACCAAGACGACAATGGCGGACCTGTGGTGGCTCCACGAACGAGGATTTGCCGCCGAGATTCAACGCCAGGCCGGGGCCGGGACACCGGTCATCGGCATTTGCGGCGGCTACCAGATGATGGGCCGCCGAATCCTGGACCCCCACGGTGTAGAATCCACCGATCCAGAGGCGGAAGGGCTGCAACTGCTGCCGGTGGATACCACGTTCGCGCATGTCAAGGAAACCCACAGAGTCAGCGGGATGGTTTCCGCAAACTCCGGCCTGCTCGCACGCTCCGGGGGCGCATCTGTGGAAGGCTACGAAATTCACATGGGTTCCTCGACCCCCGTGGTCTCGGCGACCAGCCCCTTCCAAATCAGCGGACAGGGACGCGACGCGTCAGGCGACGGCGCCATGTCCGGGGACGGACGTGCGCTTGGGACCTATGTTCACGGATTGTTCAATAGCTACAGCCTCCGCCGGACGATCCTCGAGCAACTGGCCGAATGGAAGGGAGTCGAGCTGCCAAGAACGGACGAAACCGGGGGTCAACTGTCCCGGGATGGCGAATACGACAAGCTGGCGGAGACTGTCAGAAAGAGCCTTGATATGAACCTTCTTTATCGAATATCGGGGCTGACCCCACCTGAGATCGACTGAATTCAGGTCATAAAATCGCCGCCGCGCATTGCGCAAGGTGGGCCATGACGCGCCATCAACGGTTGCCCATGGTCGGCTGCAATGCTATACTTTGCATACATGGTTCCTCCTTTATGTAAGCGGGTTCGCCCCGCTTTCTTGTTGATGGAAACATTCCGTCTAAGGCCAGATTCGGTGTGGGGGGCTGAACTATGAAAAGTGATTTTATTGTAGCGCTCAAACAATTGGCAGCTGAGCGCCATCTTCCTATGGAGCAGGTGCTGGGTGCCATTGAAGTTGCCTTGGCATCAGCGTTCAAGAAGGACAATCCTGCCTCGGGGCAGAACATATCAGTTACGCTAAATCCCAATAGCGGCGAAGTCAGCGTATACGCGTTGAAGACAGTCGTGGAGAGTGTTGAGGACGACGAGCGGGAGATCACGCTCTTAGACGCCTCCAAAATCAGGAGAGACGTGGCAATCGGCGACGAAGTGGCTGCCGCCGAGCCCCTGCCTCACAACGCCAGCCGCATCGCCGCTCAAACGGCCAAACAGGTGGTTCTCCAGCGTCTCAGGGAGGCCGAGCGGGAGCTGCTGTTCCAGGAATTCGCCCAGCACGAGGGCGACATTATGTCGGGTATCGTCGAAACCTCTGATCCGGGACGAACCATCACTCTCGACCTGGGCAGGGCGCAGGCGATTCTACCTCACGACGAGCAGGTTAACTCGGAGCGCTACCGCAAGGGCCAGCGGGTGAAGGTGTTCATCCTGAGCGTCCGAAGCGCCCCCAAGGGGCCGGAAATCCTGGTATCCCGCAGTCACAGAAACATGCTGCGCCGGCTGTTTGAAATCGAAGTGCCGGAGGGTCCACAACGGCGTGGTCGAGATCAAGGCCATCGCCCGCGAGGCTGGCTTCCGCAGCAAGGTCGCCGTGAGCGCTACCCAGCCCGGCATTGACCCTGTGGGGTCATGCATAGGCATTCGCGGTAATCGCATCCAGAGCATAGTCAACGAGTTGCAGGGAGAAAAAATCGACATCGTCTCCTGGGATCCCGATCCCAAGGCTTTCATTGCCAAGTCTTTGAGCCCTTCAGAGCCAGTCCAAGTGGAACTCTTGGATTCCGAACAGACCGCGGTAGTAGTGGTTCCCGATCGGCAGTTGTCCCTTGCCATCGGCAAGGAAGGGCAGAACACACGCCTTGCCGCCCGGCTTACCGGATGGCGGCTGGACATCAAGGGCATGACTGAATGGGAGGGAATCCGGGAGGCGCGGCTTCATGCCGCTGCCGAGGCTGCGGCCAAGGCCGCCCAAGAAGCCGCATCGCTGCCTGCCGCCCAGGCGGAGGCAGTGGCCGAGGCCACCGAGATACTCAAAGTTGAGGAGCCGGCTGAAGCTGCCGTCGTGGCCGAGGCAGAGGCCATAGTACAGGGAGTGTCAGAGGCGCTGGATACAGAGGCCGAACTAGCACAAACCGCGGCCGAGCCGCAGGCAGTGGCTGATGTCGCGGAGAACGATATCGATAAGGACGGTATCCTCGAAGCCCTGATACTTGAGGAAGAACTTCTCCAGCAGGCCGAGGTCGAGACCGTACCTGCACAGGGCGACAGCGAGGTGGGCATCAGCGTTGACGACCTCGACTCTTTTCACCCTCGACCATATGCCCGTCGTTGATGATGAAGAAGAGGAAGTCGAGGACGAGCCTCAGGAATTGGTGGAAATGCCTGTCCTCACTCCTGACGCAGGCAAGATTCGATTCGCTGAAGACATTGTGGAGGACATCCGTGGCGGCGGGCGGCGGGGCGGTGGCAGGGCTCGCCGGGGAGGCGGTGGAGGATCTCGCCGGCGGTAGTCACCCTCTCACTACCCATTCGGGCCGCAGGGCCATCTGGAGGCAATGTAATTGCCCAGGAAGCGACACATCCCGGAACGGACCTGCGTCGCCTGCGGCAGCAAAAGGCCCAAGGTTGAACTGGTCCGCGTAGCGCTGTCGCCGCAGGGCATAGTGTCCGTCGATGTTTCAGGCAAGGCCCCTGGCCGCGGGCCTATGTGTGTGGTCCCGACTGTTGGGATACGTCCTTGGGCAAAGGGCGGTTGGCGCGCAGCTTGGGCCACAATCTGTCCCCTAACGAACTGGAGACTCTCCGGGCGGAGACGCCTCAGGCCTGATTCCCACTGAATGACTCGGGGGGAATTGGATTTGGTGATTTCAGCCCGGCTTGGCAGGTGAACAAATATGACTACTGAAGCAGCCGTAGACGAATCAGGCCGAGGTCAAAGGCCTCGGCGCGACCGAGGAGAAAAGCGCACCGGGCCGAACCGCCCATTGGTGCTGCCATCGACAATGACTGTTCAGTATCTAGCCGAGGTGCTGAACCAATCGGCGATCGACGTAATCAAGCAGTTGATGCGCAACGGCATCATGGCAAACATGAACCAGGTTATTGACTACCAGGTCGCCACCCTGGTTACCACTGCCTTGGGCATCCGCACCTCGATTGCCCCTGAGCCCGCAGCCGCTGCCTCGCGCACGGCAACGGCATCTCAGGAAGAGGCCGAGGAGAACTTGGTGTCCCGGCCTCCGGTTGTCGTTGTGCTGGGGCACGTCGACCACGGGAAAACGTCCCTGCTTGACTACATCAAGAGCTCCCGTGTAGCCGACCGGGAGGTCGGGGGCATCACTCAGCATATCGGCGCATACCAGGTCGAAGTGGACGGCAATCCAATCACTTTCCTGGATACGCCAGGCCACGCTGCATTCACTGCAATCCGCGCCCGCGGCGCACGGGTAACTGACATCGCCGTGCTAGTAGTCGCTGCCGACGACGGCATAATGCCGCAGACCCTCGAGGCCATCAACCACGCCAAGGCGGCTGAAGTTCCTATCGTGGTGGCCATCAATAAGATGGACCTGCCAGGAGCTGACCCCGAGCGTGTCAAGAGACAGCTAAGCGAGAACGAGCTGCTGGTCGAGGACTGGGGCGGTGACATAGTTTCGGTCAACGTTTCCGCTCGTACCGGTGAAGGCATCAATGATCTGCTCGAAAACCTGGAACTCGTAGCGGAAATCGCCGAGTTGAAGGCCAATCCCGACAAGCAGGCATCTGGCGTTGTCATCGAGGCCAAGCTGGACCGGAAACGTGGCCCCAGCGCCACCATCCTCGTTACGGATGGCACGCTATCGGTGGGCGACCTAATTGTGGCGGGCGCTGTCTCCGGTCGGGTCCGGGCCATGGTTGACGACAAGGGCAAGGCTGTATTTAGCGTGACTCCAGGCACCCCTGCCGAGATCCTCGGGTTCGGCGCCCTGCCTGAAGCCGGAGACCAGTTGACGGTGGTCGCCAACGAGCGCGAGGCACGCACGCTTATCGGCGGCCGTGACCGCGCCCCGGGATCGCGCCCGCTCCAGTCCCGCGCCCTCAGTCTTGACGAAGTGGTCAAGCAGGTCGATATAGGCGATATCAAGGAAATGACCCTTGTACTGAAAGCCGATGTCCAAGGCAGCCTTGAAGCCATCAGGCACTCCCTGGGACGCCTTGTGGACGAGGACGCAAAGGTCAGGGTGCTGCACACCGGCGTCGGTGCAGTGACGGAGTCCGACGTGCTGCTTGCCAGCGCATCCGAAGCCGTTATCATCAGCTTCTCGGTGGGTTCCGAGCCCAGCGCGGAACGTCTTTCTGACAGGATGGGCGTGGAGATCCGAAACTACGAGATAATTTACCAACTGATTGACGATATAGAGTTGGCCCTACATGGCATGCTGGAGCCGACAATGACGGAAGTCATCGTTGGTCGGGCCGAAATTCGAGAGTTGTTTGGTGGCCGGCGGGGCGTCCAGATTGCAGGTTGCCGCGTTACCGAGGGACGCATCGTTCGGAACGGGACGGTTCGTGTGACCAGGGAGGGAGCGAACATCGCCCAGTCAACAATCTCCAGCCTTCGTCATTTCCGCGACGAGGTCAACGAGATGAATGCCGGCACAGAGTGTGGAATCATCCTGCAGGGATTCAACGATTACAAGGCTGGGGATATCGTGGAAGTCTATCGTCAGGAACGAGCGCGTCGCTAAGCGCTCCACACTATCGGCTCCCCTCTAAGGTACTGCTGGTCTCATTACCGGCAGTACCAGTCGTGATCTCTTCGTCGGAGGTGCAGGATGCCCCGGCGCATCGACCGAATCAATGAGTTGCTACGCAGCGAAATCAGCCATCTGATCGCCCGGGAAATCAAAGACCCGCGGGTGGCCGGTGTCATCAGCATCACGGAAGTAGTGGCCTCCAACGACCTCAGAAGCGCGAGAGTGTTCGTCAGCGTGATGGGGCGCCATTCCGACCGGCAGTCTGCCTTGGATGGAATCCGTTCAGCTGCTTCTTTCCTGCGGCGGGAATTGCGAGACCGGGTGAATCTCAAACATACTCCTCACTTGACGTTTGTCCTGGACGACTCCATCGAAGAAGGGGACCGCATCCTCAGGCTGATGGACGACTTCACTCCTGAAGAATTCGCCGCCGCCTACTTGGAAAGAAAAGAGCCCAGGCGCAGGGTCAGGGCACCAGATGGAACCAAAGGCCAATAGCGATGCCCAAGTCCAACAAACACACACCACCGGCTGTGAACGGGTTCGTAAATCTGTACAAGCCACCTGGCATCACTTCCATGGAGGCGCTTCGCCGCGTCAAGCGTTTCACGGGTCAGCGGCAGAAAGTCGGCCACGGAGGCACAATGGATCCGCTGGCGAGGGGCGTGCTGCCAGTTTGCTTCGGCCAGGCTACGCGACTAATGGAATACGTTGTCGGCGGTAGCAAACGCTACGTGATGGACGTCAGGCTTGGTCAATCTACGTCTACTTACGACTCAGAAGGGGAAATCACAGCTACCCGCAGCGCCAGCGGCATCTCCCGCGCAGACATAGAATCCTCCCTTGAACCCTTCATCGGCAACGTCGACCAGGTGCCACCAATGTACAGCGCGGTAAAAGTCGACGGACAACGACTGTATAAACTGGCCCGTGCCGGGATTGAAGTCGAACGGCAGGCCCGCAGCGTCGAAATTCACAGCATCCGTCTGACACGACTGGAACTCCCAGAACTGACCTTGGACGTTGACTGTGGTCGCGGGGTGTATATGCGGACCCTGGCCCACGACCTGGGCGAGGCACTCGGTTGTGGCGCTCACGTAACCGACCTGGAACGCCGCAGATGCGGAGGCTTTCCCTCGGAAAACAGCGTGACCCTGGAAGATCTGGAGAAAGCCTCCCAGCAGCCGAACGGTTGGCAACACCTGCTACATCCGGTGGACTGGGTCGTGCGAGATTACAAAACCGTAACCGTGGGGCCGGCCGCAGAGAGATTTCTTCGGAACGGCCAGCCAGTGAGCCTCGGAAATCCCAACATCCAAGCCGGGTATATGGAGCAGTTCCGCGCATACAATTCGGCCGGTCAATTCCTCGCCTTGGTGCGCTTCGACCGTGCCGGAAACTCCTGGCGCCCACTGAAGGTATTTCATGCCGACGTGCGCTCTCCCTTGGCACCTGTATCCGCATAATTCAGCGGGACGCGATTTCCGGATCCCTTCGTGCAATTGCTGCTCCGCGAATGACCAACCGATACCAGCCAGCAGCGCGTTGCTCCTTGACAATCTCTAGCCGTATGTGTAGTTTGTTGCCGACTTTACGTTAATTAAGGCGACCTACGGCACTGGTTTATCAACCATGGGCGGCCAAGCCCTTCTTTCGAAATCTGGCAACTGTAATTGATAACCAGTTGAGCCACAGACTTAGGCAGCGCCATAGAGGCCATCTGACAAAGGGGGTACGCCATGGAGGCATATTGCCTGAAATGCCGGGAGAAAAGGGAAATCAACAACCCTGAACAAGTGACTTTGAAAAACGGGCGGCCAGCCACCAAAAGGAGACTGCCCTACCTGCGGCACCAAGGTGTTCCGTATCGGCAAGTCCTGATTTGCAGCCAACTGCCGGTTGCGGTCGCTGGAGCGCAACTAGGCAGGCACGGACGAATCCAAGCCCAGCTTCGACAACAACTCCCTTGGATTGTCCTGCAATAGGGCGTGGATCTCATCGTCATTGAGGCCCGCGCCTTTGGCGACTTTCTGGCAAAGCTCCGGAGTCAGCAGGTCCTCAGGCGCGTGGGCGTCGGAATCCAGCAGGAGGGCGGCTCCGGCCAGCCGCGCTACCTTCACCACGTGCCCATTCGCCAGGCTGTGCCCACGCCGCGCCGATACCTCAAGCCTCACTCCATTCTCTGCCGCAAGCCGAGCTTCCTCGTCTGTAATCAGGCCTGGGTGGGCCAGCACGTCCACCCAGGGGGACCGGATCGCAGCCTCGTTGGTACCGGGTTCCACCGGTTCCACGGGCGTTTCGCCATGTACGGCGACCAGTTTCGCTCCCATTTCCTTTGCCGTCCGGGCCACCAAGTCGATGTCGTCCTTTGGAACGTGCGTAATCTCTACGCCCGGCAGCGCGAGGATATCCCAGCGCCTGCTGGCCAGTTCGCAATCTATCACCAAGGTCTTGATGACGTATTCCACATTGCCCAGACCCACGTGGTCGGTCACCGCCATTGCCTTGTATCCCCGGACGTAAGCACGGCGAATCAGTTCTATTGGTGACAGCACGCCGTCGCTCAAAAAAGTGTGGGTGTGAAAGTCGTACATCACTCCTCCGGACGCAAATTCCCGCCCTCCATAGAAGGGGTAGGGATGCCGACGCAAGTATAAGAGGCCAAGATAAACGAAACAACAAATCTGGGAACTCGCCCAGCTACAGGATCTCGTTGACTGAGCGTGCTGCCCCACCTAGAATACGCACCGTTGCTCAAGAGAAAAGGCCGCAATATGCGGCCTTTGTACTTGGCGTTCTCTCCACGCTGCGATCTCACTAGGTGGACGACACTTGCTGAATCTCGCCGAAACCTCAGGCGACCCTGACTGCAGCAACTGCGGTGCAACATTGAGGCCAGGCAGAGCGTTCTCCTTCCGGCCAAGGGGCGCAGCGCAGGCCGAGGGCATCACGAAGTGCCTGTGGTGCGCCTCCCGGCATGCCCCTATGTTGCGGCGTTCCGCGATTGTAGCCATCGTGGTTGGCACGATACTCACGGCTCTCAATCAGGGCGACAACCTCTTTTCAGGCCACTGGAACAACGCCCTTTACTGGAAGATACCGCTCACCTACTGCGTACCGTTTCTGGTGGCCACCTACGGGGCACTCACCGCCGCCAGGCGCTGACGTCCACCTGTCCACTTTATCCGGCACTTGTCGCTAGGTTCAGCTAAACTTGCGCAGCACCGTCACTACTTTGCCTCGGACCTCGACGTTCTCGGCCTGGCAGTAAATTGGAGACATCGTGCGGTTGGCTGGTTGCAGCCTGACGCGGTCTCCCTCTCGGTAAAACTTCTTCAGCGTGGCCTCCTCCTCCTCTCTGAGCCAGGCCACCACCATGTCACCGTTCGCCGCTTCCTGTTCCGGCTTGATCACCACCACATCACCATCGTCTATAAGAGCGTCGATCATGGACGTACCGTGGACAGTCAACGCAAAGAGCTTGCCATGGCGCCGGGGCAGGTCCGGTGAGACCTCCACGGTGTCGAATTCCTCGCTGGCAGCGGCGCCTTCCGAGGAAAAGACCGGCAACGGCTGGCCGGCGGCTATAGAGCCAACGATCTGTATCCTGGGAGCGCTGGACACCGGTTCGCCCTCCCGGTCCAGCAGTTCGATGCCCCGGGCAACCTCCCGACGCCTGTTGAGGTACCCGGCTTCTTCTAGTTGCCTCAGATTGTAGTCGACAACCGACGTGGAACTGATTTCACACGCCTGCTGTATGTCGCGAACCGTGGGTGGAATACCGTTCTCAGAGTAGAATTCCTGGATGAATCCAAGGATGCGGCGGCGGCGTTCCGGCATTTTCTTTCTCGGTGCCATACTTCCCTCTTATCTAACATAAAACCAATGTTCTATCTGCAGGCTATCAGAGCCAACCGATGGTGTCAACGAACTACTGTCAGCAAATCTCAAATGACTCGAAAATCAAGAAAGCCGCCCATTGACTCGGGCGGCTTTCGTTAACAGGCATTTCCTGTAGCTCAGGCTTCGGCAGCCTGCTCTAGCCGGGACAGCTTGGTCATCATCCGGGACTTGCGCCTGGCGGCATTGTTTTTGTGGAGAATCCCTCTTCGTACCGCCCGGTCGAGAGTTCGTACGGCCAGCAACACCGCGGACTCCGCGGTTTCAGCATCCCCAGCCTCCAGCGACCGGTTGGCTCGGCCCAGGATGGTGCGGGTTTCGGTCTTCGTGCTGCGATTGCGCCGAGCTCGTTTAACTTGCTGGCGCCCTGCTTTTCTGGCGGGCAATGAAGTGTCTCCTGAATTACGAGTTATTATTTCTGGGGCATAATCGGACCAAGTGCCCGAACTTCAACATTATAAACCATTACTCGGCTAAAGCAAAAACCCAAGGAATTCGTTCGACCCATGCCTTCCAGGAAATCCCGCGAATCCAAGAATTCCAAACGTGTCCAATGGGCCGAAAGCTGGCTCGGCTGCCTCGAAAGTAACGCTGACTTACACGTCCAGATTCTTGACATTGCGGGCGTAGGTCTGGATGAAACTCTTGCGCGGGGGCCACTACCTCGCCCATCAGCGTGGTGAATGCGTCCTCGGCGTCGTGGTCATCCCCCACGTTAACCGTCAGCATGTGCCGGGTGTCGGGGTTCATCGTGGTTTCCCACAGCTGTTCCGGATTCATCTCGCCGAGGCCTTTATAGCGCTGCAAGGTGGGACTGCGCTGACTGGTATTTTTGCCAGTAGCTCATCTTTCTGTTCTTCGGTGTAGGCGTATTCCACTCTTCGGCCGTACTGGATCCTGTAGAGTGGCGGCTGCGCGATGTACAGATACCCACTGTCAATGAGGCTCCGCATCCGCCGGTATAGAAATGTGAGGATGAGGGTGCGGATGTGCGACCCGTCCACGTCAGCGTCGGTCATGATAATGACCTTGTGGTAGCGAACCTTGGACGGGTCGAAGTCCTCGCCTTCCCCGGCGCCTACTGCGGCGACCATTGCGCGGATTTCTTCGTGTCCCAGGATCTTGTCGGGCTGTTGCAGGACCCGCTCCACGTTTAGGATCTTGCCCTTGAGGGGCAGGATTGCCTGAAAGTGCCGGTCACGTCCCATCTTGGCCGAACCGCCGGCCGACTCTCCCTCGACAATGTACAGTTCCGATTTGGCTGGGTCTCTCTCAGCACAGTCGGCCAGCTTTCCCGGCAGGGATGAACCGTCCAGCGCGTTCTTGCGGATGACCAGGTCGCGGGCCCGCTTGGCCGCCTCGCGGGCCTTCTGCGAGGTCAGGCATTTGTCCACCACCCGGCGGCCCTCGGTGGGGTTCTCCTCCAGGTAGCGGGCAAGGCCCTCGCCAACCACCGACTCAACTATACCGCGCACCTCTGGGTTGCCCAGCTTGTGCTTGGTCTGCCCTTCGAACTGCGGAGAGGTCAGCTTGACGCTGACGGCCGCCGCTAGTCCCTCACGCACGTCGTCGCCGATCAGGTTGGCCTGGTCGTCCTTGAGCTGGCCCTGCTTGCGGGCGAAGTCGTTGATCACGCGGGTCAGGGCGGATCGGAATCCAGTCAGGTGCGTACCGCCATCCGGCGTCTTGATGCAAATTGGCATATGAATGAACCGACTCGGCATAGCCGTCGTTGTACTGCACGGCCACCTCAACGGCGGTGTCATCCACGGTCTTCTCGTAGTAAAACGGAATAGACTGCAGCACCCGACGATTGCGGTTGTCATTCCGCACGAGATTTGGGATACCACCATCGAAAAAGTAGGTACGCTCTACATCTCCCTGCCTGCGCTCGTAGTGCCAGTGGCTGATGAAGCAGATTTCCAGGCCCTTGTTCAGGTAGGCGATATCCTTGAAGTGCCGGGTCAGTTCATCGAAAGTCGTAGTCGATTTCGCCAAATATCTCGGGATCCGGTCGGAACATCACAGTGGTTCCATGTTCGGGCGTCCTGGACTCTCTGGTGAGCTCAGTCGTTGGGATGCCCCTCGAATATTCCTGGGAGTTCATTACCCCGTCGCGGCGAACTTCCGCCCGCAGGAACTCTGACAGGCCATTCACCACCGATGCCCCGACACCGTGCAGTCCGCCAGTGACCTTGTACGCACCGCCGCCGAACTTGCCGCCGGCGTGCAGCGTAGTCATCACCGTCTCCAGTGCGCTCTTGCCAGTGGTAGGATGAACATCGGTCGGAATGCCGCGCCCATTGTCAGAAATGCTTATCAAGCCGTCCGCCGAAATATGGAGGTCGACCTTGGTGCAGTAGCCGGCCATCGCTTCGTCCACTGCATTGTCGAGAATCTCGATCATCAAGTGCTGCAGACCGCTCAGCCCGGTGGTCCCAATGTACATGCCGGGACGAACCCGCACAGCTTCAAGGCCTTCAAGTACTTGGATATCACCTGCCGTATAATCGGAGGCAGGAAAGTCTTTGCTGGCATTGATATCTTTGCGATTGGAATCGTCCGCTATAGGCAAGGTTTGCTGCATCTGAAACCACCAACTTCAAACTCGGGAGGCTATACAAGAGGAGCCTGAATTTAGGCTTGAAACGCACTCCCGCTTGTGCAAAATTACACCATTTATTATAGCACATCCCGTATCTAATTTACCTTAGTTTCGGGCCCTTTTTGTTCGGTTACCTATCCGTTTTTGCACTCCAATAACAAATAGAGGGCGGGTGCTTTACCCGCCCTCTATTTGCCTTTTGCACTGCCGATTTTTGCCGCCGACTACTCCGGAAAGATCCGGCGATAAACTCCCGGAGAACCGGTCTCGTGGACCATGTTCGGCCGGACTTCGTTGGTCCAGATGGGAGTGACAGCGGTTCGCCAGTTGTTCCATCCCTCGCTCTCGGCAACCTCCAGCGACTCCATTTCGTGGACCGTGGCATAGCGGGGGGAGCCCATCACTGCCTCCCACCTGCGAGCGCGGATGTAGCCCGGAATGCTGAGGCACAGGGGCAACCGTTCGTTGTTGTACGCTTCGTTGAACTTTTCGTCCAACTCATCGGGCACGGACATCCGGCCCACCAGCAGCACGGGCGACATTTCGGCCTCGGAAGTATCGACCGGCACGTCCGTTGGGTGGACCCGCCGGTACAGATTGCGTATGTACTCGGTGCCGATGACGCTTGGCGACATGCGTTTTGACCACTCGGTCGGCTCACGGAGCCACTTCTGCCAGGCTTCGGAGTGCCAGGCCTCGTGGCTGGCCAACTCGTATACGGCCAGATACCTCGGGCCGCCCTGTACGGCCTCGTACCGGGCGGCGCTCAGTACACCCGAAATAGAAAGGCGCTCCGAGATATGTTCATCGTTGTACCAACGGTTGTATTCCTCTTCGTGCTCAGGGGCCACGTCGCTGTAGACCAGCAACATTCCATCGCCTTTCTTCGCAGTCATCATCGACTCCCTGCTCCAAATTCCCTCTCAAAGCGGAGGGCGTTGGGGTGAGGCCAATTGTCAGCCGCCCGTGTAATACTGCCGTCCCGTCAGCAGGCTGTCTATGGCAAATACCATCGCTTGGAACAGCGGCTCCGGCGGCGAGACTAGGGGATACCAGCCACAGCCCTCAAACACGTCCGGTTCCATCAAGCGTGGTTCCTGGTCCCCTATATCGCCAAGAAACTCCACATCCAGATAGTGCCTTCCGTAAGCAATGATGTTGCTCACGCAGAGGTAGCGCAAGTCGCCCACCTCCACGCCTAACTCCTCCATTGCCTCGCGGCGCGCGCAGTCCTCCAGCGTCTCCCCAAACTCCAGATGGCCGCCGGCGGAACCCCAGGAACCCCCTCCCAATGCGCCTCGACGACGGGCCAAGAACACCTGTCCTTGCCGGACAAACACCACGCCAACGCCCACTCTGGGCCGCGATTCAGCCTCCGCCATGGCGCCGAGTATAGCACGGCCGGATTGTGCTTCAGTGCCCTTTTCCAGTGGACGCTCACCGCTTCCCTTGGCAAGAAACATTCAAAGGGCAAAGTGGTTCGCCGTCGCATATAATGGCCGCGTCACACTGTTGCGAGGTGAGAATTATGGCGGACTTGCAGCGCACGGCGATAACCAGCGAGCGAGCTCCACAACCCCTCGGCGCCTATTCAGTCGGAATGTCGGTAAACGCGGGCCGCCTGCTCTACGTGGCTGGGCAGGTCGGAGTGGACACAGGCGGGACACTGGTAGGACCGGGAGACGCGGCGGCACAGACCCGCCAGGTGTTGGAAAATATAGGCCACATCCTGGAGGCCGCCGGTGCCCACTTTAGCAACGTGGTTGAGTTCACCACATACGTAGTGGGACGCAGTTCGGTGCAGGGATTCATCGATGGCCGAAACCAGGTCTTCCCACAGATTTTCCCCAACGGCGATTACCCGCCCAACACCCTCCTTGTGGTCGATGGCTTGGTCCGCGAGGAGTTCCTCGTCGAAATCAAAGCCGTGGCCGCCCTCCCGTAACGATGGTACCGGAAGCCTCGATGGATGTAGTCGACGCTGTTCTCCAGCGGCAAACCGTCACGCACCGCGGGGGGCCGGTTGATTTCGAAATCCCCGTGTCGGCCTATCCTTGCAACTCCGGTCGGTTGCTCCTGATTTCGCCGGGTTCTGGGGAGCTGAAGGACGGGCGCCACGATCGCTGGCGCAAGCTGGCCCTTCACCTGCAGGAACTGGGGCTGTGCGCCACGGTAACCTACAACGCCCCGCGTCCCGATTTCGAGGTGCAACTGGAATGGGAAGCTTACTCCTATCGGGGCGCGAGCTGGAACCGCATCCTCATAGAAAGCGTGTGCCACGTTGCTGAATGGGCGCTGGACCGTTCGACCGGGCTTTGCGGCAGCGAGGCGCCCGCAATATGCATGGCCGGGTTCTCGTCTGGAGGGTCGGCCGTCGGAGCTGTGGCATACCGGTATCCACTGGTAGAGCAACTGCTGTTGCTATCGTCCTACGACAGCGTCGGAGACCCTTTCTACGAGGGAATCTCCCTGTTCACCGGCGACATATTCATGGGCTACGGCAGCCAGGACCCGCCTGCTGGGATGCTGGCCTACGTGATCAGCGTGGGGCCGCTGTCCGCCCGGTCAATGGTGGGCCGTCCGGTGCCCGATTGCGACCACCGGTTCAGCGGCGCCGACAACAGCCGCGCTTTGGTCAAAGCAGTCTACTGGGCCCTCGGGCACGATGACAGCTTCCCCAACCCCGCGGGTGCCCCGCAGCTCTACGAATAACATGGCCGGCTTAAGGAGTGCGAACATGGCAGACCGGCAGAGGCTCATCGACACAATTATCAAGCTCATTAAGATAGACAGCCCCAGCGGGGAGGAAGACGCCATCGATGCAGAGGTCAGCGCCCGCCTGTCTGCACTTGGTCTGGCGTGGAGCACGACTCGTACAACAACATCATCGCCCGGCTGGAAGGCAGGGGTTCACCCCTGCTGTTGTCGGCGCACCTCGACACGGTCGAACCCGGCCGAGGGATCAACCCGTCGCTGGACGGCGACACCCTCCGTTCCGACGGCACCACTATCCTCGGCGGGGACTGCAAGGCTGGGTTGGCCATCGTACTGGAGGCGCTGGCCTGCGTCGCCGAGTCCAACGGCCCGCACCGGGCCGTGGAAGTGGCCTTCTCCCGCCACGAGGAAGGCGGTCTGGTTGGGGTCCGCCATATGGACTTCAGCCTGCTGGCCGCGAAGACGGGTATCGTCCTCGACGGCGAGGGGGCACCCAACCGGATCACAGTATCGGCTCCATCACAAAACGTGGTGACGGCCGAAATTGTGGGACGAGCCGCCCACGCCGGTCTGGAACCGGAGAACGGGCTGTCGGCCCTGCTGGTAACCGCCGATATCCTAACCCGCCTCCCTTTGGGCCGCATAGACGCGGAGACCACCGCCAACATCGGCTGGATGGAGGGGGGCCTCAAGCGCAACATCGTTCCAGAACGCGCCGAATTGGACGGAGAGTTCCGTAGCCGCAGCAACGACAAGCTGGCCTGGCTGGAGTTGCAGTTCCGCAAGGTCTTTCACGAGACCGCCGCCCGCTACCCGGATGCCCGCATCTCCCTGGATATCCGCAACACCTACCAGGCCTTTCGCATCGAACCGCAGCACGAGAGCATATCCACCATTGGCAATGCCCTCCAACACCTCGGCCTCTCTCCCGTGTTGGAGGCATCTGGCGGAGGCTCCGACGCCAACGTGTTCATCGAACGCGGCATAACTGCCCTGCCAGTGGGCATTGGCGTCAGGTCGTTCCACACCACTTGGGAGACCGCCCTGATCCCCGAAGTCCTGCAGGCTGCCGAGATGTGCCACGCCGCCATCATGTCCGTAGACGGTAGCTGATGACATCCGTCATCATTGTGGTCTTCGACGGGCTGCAGCCAGCGCAGGTAACGCCCAACCTGATGCCCAACCTGTCGCGACTGGCCGCCGAGGGCGTTACTTGCAGCAATCATCACGCCGTCTTTCCAACAGTCACCCGCGCCAACGTCGCCAGCATCGTTACCGGCCACCACCCCGGAGCCCACGGGCTGACAGCCAACACGCTGGTCATCCCCGAGTTTGACCCGCACAGGGCAATCGGCGCCCTCGAACCTGTGCTGACCGAGGTGGCGACCAGGACCGCAGTCCTCCTGAAGCCAACCCTCGGCGACATCCTTCACCAGCACGGCAGGGAATTCATCGCCGTCGGCGCGGGAACAACCGGCAACGCCTACCTGCAGAACCCCAACGCCGAAACCGGTGGCGGCGCCACGGTCCATCCCGATTTCACGCTGCCCCGACACCTGCACCAAGAGATAACAGAGCGATTCGGCCCATGGCCTGACCGCCGAGGGCCCGCCGCGCCCAAGATGGCCCGTATCGTTGACATCCTGACCGAATACGTGCTGAACGATAGACAGCCCGCCGCCTCTGTTCTGTGGTTCTCCGAGCCTGACTCGTCTCAACACGCCCACGGTGTCGGCTCCGCGGAGGCCGTCAGCGCCATCCACGAGGCCGACCGGCAGTTCGGCAGGCTGCTGGACTGGCTGGATCGAACAGGTAGGACAGCCGATACCAACGTGATTGTCGCCTCCGACCACGGCTACTCCACAATATCGGAAGTCATAGACGTCGACTCTGCGCTACAAGATGCCGGTTTCCCACCTGCTGACCAACGCGGCGGTGTTGCATTTGCCCCCAACGGCGGGTCTGCCCTGTTCTACGCCACAAGCGACATCCCGGACACGTCCGCTAGGCTGGCCGAATGGCTCATGACACAACGATGGTGCGGCCCACTCCTGGCATCCGAGGCGGCTGGAGTCATTCCCGGCACGTTGCCGTCACACTTGATCGGATTGGAAGGTCCCAGGGCGCCTTCCATCGCGATGTCCTTCCATTGGGACTCCACAGCCAACAGCGCCGGGTTCGCAGGCCGCGCCTATTCCACCAGCCTTGCGCCGGGGCAGGGCCAGCACGGCTCCATGAGTCCCCACGAGAACCGAAACGTCTTCTTCGCAAGCGGCCCGGCATTCAGGCGTTCGACCAACATCGACAGTCCGACCGGAAACGTCGACATCGCACCCACGGTCCTCCACCTGCTTGGGCTTCCGGAAGACCCTGCAATGCACGGCCGCATCCTATTCGAGACACTTCTTACCGGCCCTGACAACGTCGAATGGGTGACCGAGACCCATTGGGCGGAGCGTGATATCGCAGCCGGCCGCTATTCCCAGTCAGTTACCCTGTCAAGGGCAGGGACCACGGTATACGTGGATCAGGGATCTGGTGGCCTGCTGTTCAGTTGACGCTGCGTTGACAGGACAAGGATAATGAATGACGGCAATTTTTGGGGACCGAAACACCAAGAAAACGTATGCTTGATGGGCCAGTGAGCGTCATAGTTGCCCCCACGGCCTGTTTAATTGACCCATAGTTACCAGGAAAGAGGTTCGTCCCGGGTATCTTGGGGTGCCTTCATCCGGAATGGACGAGACGCAAACCGCGTAAATCCCGAAGTATGGCGGCCGTAGCCCGCCTGTCTGAAACCAACCCACAAAGGAGAATCACCATGGCAACGGTTACACGCAAGCGTCAGTTGGGCCGGCAGGTCGCCATCGTTGGGGCCGGACTCTCGCAGTTTGGCGCCTTCCCCCGACAAGGACAGCCGCGACCTCTTCGTCGAGGCTTTCCAGGACATGATGGAGACGATGGACAAGCCCTTCGAAATCGACGACATAGAGTGCGCCTATATCGGCAACTACTCGTCCGACTTGTTCGAGACTCAGGGCCATACTGCGCCCATCGTTGCCGACTGGCTGGGAATGACCCCCATCCCCATCACCCGCATCGAGAATGCTTGCGCCAGCAGTGGCAGCGCCCTTCGCGAGGGCGCTATGGCCATCGCCAGCGGCATGTACGACATCGTGCTGGTTGGCGGGATGGAGAAGATGACCAACCTCCCCACCGAAGGCGTTACCGACGTCCTCGCCTCCGCCGCAGACGGTCTCTACGAAGTGCCGGCCGGCCTAACCTTCCCCGGGATCTTCGGGGCCATCGCCAAGGCCCACATGGACCGCTACGAGACCAACTTGGACCACCTGCTCAAAGTGGGCATCAAGAACCATAACAATGGCGCGCTGAATCCCAAGGCCCAGTTCAACGTTACCATCCAGGACATGATGGATCGTCGCAAGGCTCGGGCTGAGCAGCGCGGCCAGCCCGTACCGGATTGGCAGACCGAGCTCGACTTCCTGCACGACGAACAGGCCAACCCCTGGATCGCTTGGCCCCTGCGCCTCTACGACTGCGCCCCCATCACCGACGGCGCCTCCTGCATCCTGCTGGTGTCGTCGGAAATCGCCCACAACTTTACCGACCGTCCCGTGTCCCTGGCAGGCATCGGGCAGGCATCGGGCAAGCCCCTGCACGACGCCGACGAACTGACGTCGCTCTCGGCCGCCAAGGAAGCATCTCGACAGGCATACGAGATGGCGGGCATCACCGCCGACGACGTGGATGTGGCTGAAGTTCACGACTGCTTCACCATCGCTGAAATCGTTGCCACCGAGGATCTGGGCTTCTTCGTCCCGGGCGAGGGCCCACGGGCCGTCGACGAAGGCCGCACCGCCCTGGACGGAGACCGCCCAATCAACACCTCTGGCGGACTCAAGTCCAAGGGACACCCGGTGGGCGCGTCCGGAGTGGGCCAAGTGGTTGAGATCTATCACCAGCTTCGCGGCGAGGCCGGGGAGCGGCAGGCCAAGAAATCAAAGGTTGAAGTCGGCCTTACTCACAATGTCGGCGGCACTGGCGGCACCTGCGTCGTCAACGTCCTCCGGATGGAGTAGTAACGCCATGGCCAGCGAATTCAACGCCGCCAATTTCTACAAGCGCCTTGCTGAAGACGGCAAGCTGACCGGCATCCGCTGCAACTCCTGCGGCCAGGTTTCGCCTGAGGCCCGCCCGATGTGCGCCGCCTGCCGCAGTTTCGACGTGGCTTGGCATCCCTTCAGCGGTAATGCAACCCTCAGCACCTTCACCTGCATTTCAGTGGTCCCGGACTACTGGGGGCAGAAGGGCTATGGTCGCAACAACCCGTACTGCACCGGTATCGTAACCTTGGAAGAAGGCCCACGAATCAGCGCCCGCATAACTGGCGTGGACGGCTCCAATCCACAGTCCATTCGCACCGGGATTCCCTTGGCGCTGGACTTGGAGGACCTTGATCCGGACCGCCCGTCGCTAGCGTTCAGACCGGCGTAGCCCGGGAGCAAGCTTTCCGGCAGTTCCATATGATTGGCTGGAATTGCTGGAAGGGTGGGGAGAAAAGAAATGCTGATATTGGGAATCGTACTCGCGGTAATTGCCGCTATTTTGGTCATAGCAGCGGCGGTCTTCTGGTTGACGCGCATGGTGAGCCAGAAAGAGGTGGCGGACCTCAACCGTTTCCTTGATGGCGCGGAGTGCCAGTGGCAGAGGCTGGGTAGTTCAAACACCCAAGGCATCGAAGAGGGCGTCTATTTCGTCAATCAAGCCCCTGCATCCCAGGGCATAGAAATGCGCGTGTACGAATACGCGGAACCTGTCGATGGCTCCGAAGCAGACGATGAAGGCGTGTGTCTGTCCATCATCGACACGGCGAACCTCAACGGCATGATTCTCAACGGCTTCTCTCTGCACTTGGAGGCCATGCAGTTCGGCGATACTCTCTGGAATGACCACTTCCTTGGTGACACCGGCATCATGGAACGGATGATTACCGAAAAACGCGTAGCCTGGGATCAGATTCAGCAGGAAATCATCGTCGGGCACTACGCGCTGTTCATGTAGCCCACACCCCCTTGCCTGCGAACGCAGAACGCCCGGCCGATGTGGCCGGGCGTTCCTTTTTCGCCGTATGTTAACGAATTGTAGCCTAGTCGAAACCGCGGGTGCCGACCCAGCCGACCTGCGAGACATCGATCATCTCGCCGTTCGGGCCCTCGTACTTCGTCTCCACGTTCTGGTGCCGCGGGCCGCTGTTCCCGGCGTGCAGGGCTTGGTTGACCGAGGCCATCTCACTGGAACCATTGGCGGCTAGGCGCGCCTCGATCTCTTCAAGACTCTCAACCTCGAAGCCGATGTGATGGATTCCTTCCCACTCTTTGCCGCGCTCGCCTGCCACGGCATCGTTCTGGAAGTCGAGGATCGCCATGTTGACGTTGCCGTCGCTCAGCATGAAGCCTTTGGCGTTTTCGCTTTCCAGGGCCGCAACTTGGCGAAGCCCGAATACCTCGGAGTAAAACTTGGCGGTTTTCTCTGCATCGTTGGTGGCGATGGCGATGTGCTTGATCTGGGGCATCTCGCTACCTCTCCGGTTCGGATTATATCTGCGAGGGCAGATTTGGTACGGTAAAGATACCACGTTTGAAACGCTGCCGCCATATTGGAGTGCTGTTCTGGAAAGCTGCAGACCCACCAGACCGAGACGGGCCAGCGCCATTGTATTTTGGATTGCCTTAAGACAATGAAGGGTTCCAATTCAGGTGGTTTGCCACCGCACAATCCATCAATCCCGCGAAGCATGTCCCCCGGGGGGCGGGGAGCGGAAACCTGCGCTGGCCAGTTTCGATCAGGAAACATGCGCCACCAGCCGATGTAGGACGCTGCCTCCTGACAGAAGCCCCTTGCCAAGCCTCATGACACCCCTCTACCATTGAATAAAGCGGACCCGAAGGCCCGCGATTCCAACACCGCGACCGACGCACCGGGTGTTTTCATGGCCGCTTGCCCTGACATTGACCCCGGCGCGCCTCACCCCGGCGCGGAGCCTGCCCTCGACCTGATTGGGCCCACGGGTGGAGACGAACCCCCGGAAATTAAGCAAACTGTACAAAATTGCACACATTGGACCCCCTCCAACATGGTGTTAGCCCAAATCGCGGCCCTTCCCATCACCCGTCACCCTGGGCCTGACATCCCGCAGAAGGACGAAGCCGGGTCGAATGTCCTCGCCGACATCCCACTGCCCTTGCCTTCATGCTCGCCAAAGCGGGGAGCGAGAATCTACAACTTCCCTCCCGCCGGCACCTGAAACCAGGTGTAACCGAGGTGCCGCCGAGCGATCCTTCTCCTAAATTTACACCCAGTTTCTGGTGCAGCCGCGAAACTCCTTGAGCCAATCGTGATAGCCCTGCTCTGCGGTTCGGAGATTCACCTCGCATCTTGTCGCCATGTTAGAATGCGATGAATTCTATCGCTGAATGATGGGCAATTATCGGGGAGGAGAAGCAATGACTGTCCCTTACAAGATGAAATTCGGTGTCTTCATGGCCCCGTTCCACCGGGTGGGAGAGAACCCCACGCTGGCCTTGGAACGCGACCTGGAACTCATTCAATGGCTGGACACCCTCGGCTTTGACGAAGCATATATCGGCGAGCACCACAGTGCAGGCTGGGAAACCATCGCCTCCCCGGAGGTGTTCATGGCTACGGCGGCCGAACGCACCCGCAACATCAAGCTTGGTTCTGGTGTGGTCAGTCTGCCCTATCACCACCCGTATATGGTGGCCAACCGGTTTGTCCAACTCGACCATCTTACCCGCGGACGTGTCATTCTGGGCGTGGGACCCGGCGCCCTCGCCTCCGACGCGCTGATGCTGGGCATCAGGCCAGAGAAGCAGCGCGAAATGATGGACGAGTCTCTTGGGGTCATTATGCGGCTGATGACCGAAACCGACCCCATCACCTATAAGAGTGACTGGTTCGAGCTCAACGAAGCAGTCATCCAGTTGCGCCCTTACCAGAGTCCCCACATCCCCGTTGCCGTGGCCTCCGTCGAGTCCCCCGCTGGCGTGACCACCGCAGGAAAGCACGGCGCTTCCGTTCTCTCTCTCAGTGTGCCTCGTGACACTATCCGCCGTACCTCCCTTATGGAGTTGTGGGACATTGCCGAGGAAACCGCCGCCGAGCACGGCAAGACGATGCACCGCGAGGAATGGGGCATCGTGATGGGCATGCACCTGGCCGACAGCAGGAAAGCAAGCCCTCGAGGACATTCGGGAGGGCAGCGCCCGGGTGGTAACAGAATACTTTGCCCGCACCCTTGGCAATCCCGCCCCGGACGTTCCCCGGGACCAGATAGTGGATTTCATGGTGGAGCACAACCAGTGGATCGTCGGCACCCCCGACGACGCCATCGCTGGCATCGAGCGCCTGCAAGAAATCAGCGGCGGCTTCGGCAAGTTCATGATTCGCGTGGAAGACTGGGCCCCACGCGACAAGCTGCACCGCAGCTACGAGCTGCTGGCCCGCTACGTCATGCCTCGGTTCCAGGGATCTCTCATCGGTATCGAGACCTCCAACCAATGGGCGGCCGAGCGCATCGAGGTACTGCAGGCCAATCGCTACGCAGGCATCAAGGCGGCCACCGAACGCTACGACGCCAGCCGCAGCAGCAACTAGCAGTCCTCTATCCGGTTAGGCAAGGAAACAATCTCAAGACGCGACAAGACACTCAACCCGTCATTCTCGCGAAAGCGGGAATCCCGGCCCTCGCCTAACAATCGGTGGGGCTAAAACAAAATCAGCGCGTTTTGAAATGGTTACCAAAGCCAAAAGAACCGCCCCGAATTGGGGCGGTTCTTTTGCCAATCCGCGGGGTTGAGAGGATCAATTTCACCAGACACTCCAACAGCCAAGCCTGCGATTTGTAGGTGATTTCGTTGTCCGGGTAAAACACCCGGGACGGTCACAATCTCAATGGCGAGGAGTTCACAGGCGACGTATCCGCCGTACATTTGGCCCACTGCGAAGGTGCCATCGGCCTCCAGTGTCAAGACATCAGGGCCGGCAGTTCCCTACTTAGGGAGGGACGATATCTGGATCCCCACCTGTCCATTGGCTCGTTCAAACAGGTTGGCCGCCAGGAAGTTCTCAACGAAAATGCAGGGCAGGAGCGCCCTTTTCACACACGCGTGTTGATTGAAATTCTCAACTCCTTAACTCGTATCCAATTCAATATTCTTCAGAATTGGTTTACTCAATGTTATTTCTAAATGGTTATATATGAGATATATGAGTCGATAATAATGCATCAATAGCAAACTTATTGTGGTTTCACGTACCTCGCTTTTCGACAGGCCTTTTTGGGCATTTAAGCGTCGGAATGGCGAAGTACTACGAAAACTGGGAATATGCTTAGACGAAATGGGCCATGCATCGCCTGGATGGGAAGCTTGGGAGTACGATGCTGCTGATAAATTTTCCGGATTCGCCCAGATGCAGACCGCAATTCCTGTATTTTCGTCAACATTATGTATTACACTGCCAGAAGCGGGTGTCGATCCGTTATTCCAACCGGACGACGAGAGACGAAGGCGATGCGCAAGACAAAAATAATAGTGACTATCGGACCATCCTCCAACGACGAGGAAACCCTGAGCAGGCTAATCTCAGACGGGATGGACTGCGCCCGGCTGAACTTCTCCCATGGCACCCACGATGAGCACGCGACGGTAATTGAACGAATCCGCCGACTGGCCAAGGAACAAAACAAAACAGTAGGCATTCTGCAGGATCTGGGAGGCATAAAGCTACGCCTTGGTCGCCTTGCGGAAGCCCGGCAGCTAAATCTGGGAGATGAGGTCGTCATCACTGCCGATGACGAGTCCTCTACGCCGGATATTCTGCCCTTTCCTCAGCCCGGTGTGATACGCAACCTGCAAGTCGGTAGTTTCGTTTTTATCGCCGACGGCACGGTGCAACTGGAGGTAACAGAGATCACTCCAGACCGTGCGTTCTGCCGGGTGTTGAGTTCCGGTGTAGTGTCCTCATTTAAGGGGGTCAATCTGCCGGGAGTGCCGATTGATCAACCCGTTTTCACAGACAAGGACAAGCGGGATCTGATTTTCGGCGTGGAGCAACAGGTGGACTGGGTAGCGGTGTCATTTGTACGCACCGCCAACGATATCCTCTATGCCAGGCGCTATCTCAACGCGGCGGGCAGCAAAGCTCTTGTGATGGCCAAGCTGGAGCGCGGTGAAGGTATCGAAAACCTGGACTCTATCCTCCCTGAAGTTGACTCGGTCATGGTAGCCCGTGGCGACTTGGGAGTTGAAATCCCGATGGAACGAGTGCCGAGAGTTCAGCGCCTTATCGTCGACAAGGCCAATGCCGCGGGAAAGGGCGTCGTTATAGCCACCCAGATGTTGCGGAGCATGGTAATCTCACCCACGCCGACCAGGGCCGAGGTGTCGGACGTCAGCAACGCGGTGCTCGAAGGAACTGACTCCATCCTCTTGTCGGACGAAACGGCGATGGGTCAGTATCCCGTAGAGGCTCTCCGGGTTGCTGTTTCTACCATCAACGAAGCCGAGTCGGAAGACCTGTATCCCTATTTCAAGGACATGGGCACTCACGACCGAACCCAGGCCATCACTTCCGCGGCTGCAGGGCTCGTAAAGACTCTCGACTCCAAGCCCATTGTGTTGACTAGCACCGGTCGCGCAGCACTGGAACTGGCTCGATTCCGTCCTATCAACGACATCCTTGCTTTCTCCCACGACCCGGCGGTTCTGCGTAAGCTGTGCCTCGGATGGGGAATCCAGCCAACGGGCGTCATACCAGTGCAGCCCGACGTAGCCGAGCTGGTGTACCAAGTAATTCAGTCCGCCTTGGACCTTGGAGCCGTAAGCGAGAATGACGTGGTGACCATCGTACATGGCTTCCTGACTGGAGTTTCGGGAACCACGAACGCAGTACAGGTCCTGAGCATTCGCGAGTACCTGGAAAACGTGGGACGCCGTCGCGCAGAGCAGATGGTGGAAATGCCTCTGTAGTTGATCTAAAACAGCGATCCCTCTCCTTGCAGGAGAGGGATCTATCATGCAGAAACTTGAGACCTACTTCTAGAGAGTGGAGGGCAGGGAATTAGGGAGGTTAGTCTCTCCCATCAGATATAGGTCTATCGCGCGAGCCGTCTCCCTTCCCTCGGCAATAGCCCACACTACCAGCGACTGGCCCCGGGCGGTGTCTCCAGCAGCAAAAACGCCGGGCACGCTGGACATCCGGTTCTCGCCTATGTTCACGTTGCCCCGACTGTCAAGTTCAACACCCAACTGGTTGAGCAGACCCTCATGCTGCGGGTGAAGGAAGCCCATTGCCAGCAACACCAGCTCTGTCTCGACCTCGAATTCGCTGCCAGGAACCTCAGTCAAAGCAGGGCGTCCACCGTTTTCGGGCTGGCTCCATTCCACCCGCACTGCGTGCAACTTTTCCAACTTGCCGTCGTTGCCCGAGAAGGACTTGGTGAGGATACCGTAGTCCCTCACGCCCCCTTCCTCGTGCGCCGCCGACGACCGGAGAATCGTGGGCCACTGCGGCCATGGGTTTGAAGTGTTTCGATGTATCGGTGGTTCTGCAAGGAGTTCGAATTGGTTTACTATCTCGGCACCCTGCCGATGGGCCGTCCCCAAACAATCGGCTCCCGTGTCCCCGCCACCAAGAATCACCACCCGCTTGCCTTCTGCCGTGAGCCTGGGCTCCGAGTCCAGTTCTTCGCCCGCATTGAGGCGATTCTGTTGGGTGAGGTATTCCATGGCAAAGTGGACGCCATCCAACTCTCTGCCTGGAACATCCAGATCACGAGGCATAGTGGACCCGCAGGCTAGACAAATCGCGTCAAAAGTCTGCAGCAGTTGCTGAGCAGGGAGGTCAACTCCTACATCCACGCCCGTTTCAAACTGGATGCCCTCTTGTTCCATTATGTCGAGGCGCCGGCGGAGGACTTCCTTGTCAAGTTTGAAATCAGGGATTCCTAGCGCGAGCAGCCCACCGACATAATCCGAGCGCTCAAATACGGTCACCAAATGTCCTGCCCGATTGAGTTGCTGGGCGGCTGCCAGCCCAGCTGGGCCCGAGCCGATGACAGCAACCTTCTTTCCCGTACGAACTGCGGGAGGCTGCGGCCGTATCCAACCGTTCTCGAAGCCCCTGTCCGCTATCTCCTTCTCCACATATTCTATGGTGACGGGATCGGCATTAATGCTGAGCACACAACTGGCTTCGCAGGGGGCCGGGCAGATCCGCCCGGTGAACTCCGGGAAGTTGTTGGTGGACAGTAACGTGCGTAAAGCACTTTCCCAGTCGCCCATATAGACATAGTGATTGAATTCGGGAATCACATTGCCAAGTGGGCACCCCGTATGGCAGAAAGGCACGGCGCAGTCCATGCACCGTCCGCCCTGCTGACGAGCCATGGCGTCGGGCCATCGGGTATAAAGCTCTTGGTAGTCGCTGATACGCTCGCTGACCGGTCTCCGCTCCGGAGGCCTTCGGCCAGACTCCATAAATCCAGTGGGTTTACCCATGGGCTACTGCTTCCAGTTCCCGGTCCTCCATGCCTCGTCTCTTTCGCTCTTCCAAGACTCGGCGATAATCCCGGGGCATTATTTTCTTGAACTTCGGTAGAACTGAATCCCAGTCGGCCAAGATTCGAGCGGCAGGGCCACTACCAGTAAGGCTGTAATGCTCTTCGACGAGCCCCTTCAGGGTCATAACGTCATCGCGGTCGTCCACTTGCTCCAAGTCAGCAAGCCCATCATTGAATCGGATGTGAAAATCGCCATCGGGATCGTACACAAAAGCAATGCCACCGCTCATTCCAGCAGCGAAATTGCGTCCAGTCTGGCCTAGGACCACCACCACCACCCGTCATGTACTCGCAACCGTGATCACCTACGGCTTCGACCACCGCGTGAACGCCGCTGTTGCGGACGCAGAATCGTTCGCCCGCCACTCCGTTGATGAAGGCCCGGCCACCGGTGGAGCCATACATCGCCACGTTCCCGATGATGATGTTCTCCTCGGGAGTAAAAGTCGATTCGGGATGGGGCTTCACCACGACCATCCCCCCTGACATTCCCTTGCCCATATAGTCGTTGGCGTCCCCCTCCAACTTAAGGGCAACACCGGGGGCGAGGAACGCCCCAAAGCTCTGCCCCGCCGAACCTCTGAAATTAATGCGAATCGTTTCCGGAGGCAGTCCGTCTTCACCGTAGGGTTTTGGCGATGCGGCCACTCAGCATCGCACCCACTGTGCGATTGGAGTTGCTTATGGGAAGATTGATTTCAACGGGCGTCCTGTGCCTCAGCGCGGGCTCGGACATGGCAATTAACTGGTGATCCAGCGCTCGCTCTAGGCCGTGATCCTGCTCCTCCGAACAGTACAATGTCTCGGAAGGGCTGTTTGACTGCTGGTAATGCAGCATCCTGGAAAGATCGATGCCCTGTGCCTTCCAGTGCTCAATAGCCCCTAGGGTATCGAGAGCATCGGCCCGCCCCCACCATCTCGGCGACGGTGCGGAACCCCAACTCCGCCATGATCTCCCGCATTTCCTCGGCGATGAACATGAAGTAATTTACCAAGTGCTCCGGCCTACCTGCGAATCGTGAACGCAACTCAGGATCCTGCGTAGCGATGCCTACGGAGCAGGTGTTCAAGTGACACTTCCGAAGCATAATACAGCCGCTCACGACCAACGCAGCCGTCGCAAAGCCAAATTCCTCTGCGCCTAGTAGCGCTGCGATGACGGCGTCTCGCCCAGTTTTGAGCTGGCCGTCGGTCTGCACAAACAATGCGACTTCGCAGGCCATTAGCAACTAGCACCTGCTGGGTCTCAGCGATTCCCACACTCCCATGGCAGGCCAGCGTGCTTTATGGAAGACTCGGGCGAGGCGCCGGTGCCACCATCGTGGCCGCTAATCAGCACCACGTCTCCGTGACCCTTTGCGACGCCTGCCGCTACCGTGCCGACGCCAACCTCCGCCACCAGCTTGACATGAATGCGGGCATCAGGATTGATGTTCTTCAGATCGTGAATCAACTGGGCCAAGTCTTCAATCGAATAAATGTCATGATGGGGCGGCGGCGGCGAGATCAATTCCACACCCGGAGTGGTACGGCGGACCCATCCAATGTATTCGTCAACCTTATGGCCCGGAAGCTGCCCACCCTCTCCAGGTTTGGAGCCCTGCGCCATTTTGATCTGCAGGTCGGTTGCGTTAATCAGGTAGTTGGCGGTTACACCAAATCTGCCGGAGGCTACTGCTTAATGGCGCTGCTCCGATTGTCTCCGTTATCATCGACGATTGTAGCGCCGGTAGTCCTCGCCACCCTCGCCCGTGTTGCTTCGGGCGCCGATTCGGTTCATGGCAATGGCCATAGTTTCGTGGGCTTCCTTGCTGATTGACCCCAGTGACGCTGCGCCTGTGGCAAATCGCTTGGCGATTTCCCAGGCGGACTCCACTTGGTCAAGAGGCACAGGGGAGCGGTCTCTCTTGAAGTCAAGAAGACCACGCAGGGTAGCGATACGCCTACTCTGGTCGTTCACCAAGCGAGCGAACTTCTTGTAGACGTCCGCATTGTCGGTACGGGCCGCGTGCTGCAGTATGGCGATGGTGTCAGGGTTCCACTGGTGGTGCTCCCCGCCACGGCGCCACTGGTAGAAACCGCCCAAGGACAGCTCCCCGTTCCCTGGCACTTGAATGTCGTCGTAGGCAGAGGCGTATCGCTGAACCGTCTCATGCTCGATGGCCTCAAGCCCAATTCCGCCAACACGGGACGGGGTCCAGGAGAAATATTCGTCCACAAGACCCTGTTCGAGACCCACAGCCTCAAAGATCTGGGCGCCCCGATAGCTCTGTACCGTGGAGATGCCCATCTTGGACATCACCTTCAGCACACCCTTCTCATTGGCCTTGATAAAATTCTTGCAGGCGTAGTCAGGGCCGTGGCCATTCAGCAAACCCGACTCGCTCATTCCCTGAACGGTCTCAAGCGCCAGGTACGGGTTGATAGCCCCAGCGCCATACCCGATTAGCAGGGCGAAGTGATGAACCTCACGGGCCTCCCCAGTCTCCACCACCAACCCCACTCGTGTCCGGGTTCCCTCCCGGCTAAGGTGATGATGGACAGCGCCAGTTGCCAACAGGCTTGGAATCGGAGCCCTTCCTAGACCCACATTGCGGTCGGACAGGACAATAATAGAGTGGCCTTCGTCAATCGCCTGCGAAGCACGCTGCCTCAGTTCGTCCAAGGCGGCCTTAATTCCCGGCGGAGGGATCGAATACCGCAGGCAACACCGCAGTTCGCAGTCCCGGCAAATCAAGCGCCTTGATACGGGCAACATCCTCGTTGTCGATGATCGGCGAGTGGAGCTTCAATTGTCGGCAGTGGAGCGGCGTCTCTTCAAACAGGTTCTGCTCGCTGCCGATGAACGCCTCCAATGAGGTAACAAGCTCCTCCCGTATGGCGTCCAGAGGGGGATTGGTAACTTGGGCAAACAGTTGCTTGAAATAGTTAAACAGCAACTGGTTCTGGTCGGACAGTATTGCCAGCGGTGCGTCGTTCCCCATGGAACCGATTGCTTCGTAACCTGACTCGGCCATCGGGGCTGTGAGCATCCGCAGTTCCTCGACGCTATACCCAAAAGCACGCTGCATGCGCACCAACTCCGAGGCTTCTATTGGCGCCTCTGGATTGGCCTGCGGCAGGGTCTCAAGGCTAACTCTGTTCTCACTCAGCCACTGGCCGTAGGGCTGACGGCTCGAAAGGTCGCGCTTCAGTTCCTCATCGCCGATAATCCGGCCCTGCTCCAAGCTGACCAAAAACATCCGTCCCGGCTGCAATCGTCCCTTGAACCTTACCTCTGCAGGTGGCACATCAAGAACGCCGGTCTCAGAGGCCATCACCAGTTTGTCCCCGGTGGTTACCAGGTAACGGAAAGGCCTGAGTCCATTGCGGTCCAGCAGAGCACAGATGTTGCGACCGTCCGACGAGACGATCATTGCGGGCCCGTCCCACGGTTCCATCAACGCGGAATGAAACTCGTAGAAATCCTTCTTTTCCTGAAGCATGGTCTCATGTTGGTCCCAAGCCTCAGGTATCATCATGAGCATGGCGTGGTCGAGCTCACGGCCGGTCATCAGCAACAATTCCAGCGCGTTGTCGAAACTGGCAGTATCACTGTCGCCGGGGTTCATGATTGGCGGGATCTTTTTCATGTCGTCCCCGAACAGGGACGACTCGAACATGGACTCGCGGGCACGCATCCAATTCAGGTTACCGCGAAGGGTATTTATCTCACCGTTGTGGGCCAGGTACCGATACGGGTGCGCAAGGCGCCAATGACCGAGGGTGTTGGTGCTAAAGCGGGAATGTACCAGCGCGAAGGCGCTGACCAACTCCTCTTCCTGCAGGTCAAGGTAAAACCCTGAAATCTGGTGGGCCATGAGCAGACCCTTATAAACAATGGTGTTACAGGAAAGACTGCAAACGTAAAAGTAGTCGGCCTCTTCCTCGGAAAGGCCACTATCCTTCATGGAATGTTCTATAACCTTGCGTACAACATAAAGCTTGCGCTCTAGTTGAGCCAAATTGAGGCCGCTCTTGCCAGGGCCAACAAATACCTGCTGGATACTGGGGCAACGGCGGCGCGAGTCGCGTCCAAGCTGGTCGTAGTCGACAGGAACTTCCCGCCAAGCCAACAACTCCAGACCCTCGTTCACGATGGCGCTGGCGATAAGTTCACGGCCTTTCTCATCCGCCTCTGGAGGAAGAAATACCATGCCCACGCCGTATTCGCCATCCGCTGGCAAATCGAACCCTATCCGCTCGCTTTCGCGCCGGAACAATCGGTGCGGCATCTGGATAAGAACACCTGCCCCGTCGCCCGTCTCCGGATCACTGCCCGCTGCCCCGCGATGGCCCAGGTTCACTAGGACCTGAAGCCCCTCTTCCACGATTCTATGTGACTTGCGCCCTTTTATGTCGGCGACGACTCCGACGCCGCAAGCGTCGTGCTCTAGCTCCGGGGAATAAAGGCCCTTGCTGGCTAATTCTTTCAGCGGGTCCATACTTCCGATTCCTGTGTCTGGAGAACTGAAGCGCTGGGGCAGCACGCTCGTCTCTCAGCAGATTTACCACAAACGCAGACGGGCCGGGGGAACATCGCCTTCCCAGCCGTGCTTCTGCTTCGTTTGTGTAATATATCACAATAATCCTTCGATACAATAGCTTGCCGTCTGAAGGTGGAAACGGGCACGAGAAACTCCCCATTCCTCTGCTCAAAACGGGGAGTCTGACGGTTAAACTCGTGATGCAACGGGTAAGACTACGGTTGGGGAGCCCCTGCGTCCATCATCAGGAATAGGAATTCCAGGATGGAACTTATGGACGAGGCTTCAATCTCCATGTCCAAATCGACTTCGAGGCCATCCTGCGTGATGGCTATACCGGCGACGAGGCCCTGGATCTCTTGCGACCCCGACATAACCCCCATCAAAGCCATCAGACCCTCGTTATATTCTTTGTACGCAGCGGCATCGGCTTCGTCCTCGAAGAACTGCCTCGATTGCACTAGCATGGAGTCTTTCCCAAACTGTATCCCTATAACTGAGATCGGAGCGCTGGGGCCCAAGGCACCCATCAATCCCATGCCGTCCGGGCTTTCCGACATGGCAGTCTGAATTGCCTCCGGTGGCGTCACGATGACCATCCCGAAGTCCCTGTCGCCCAGAGCTTCCAAAGCCGCCACTCCCTCACCGGATTCTGGACTGGCCACTCCCGACGCCACATCAAGCATCGCCTCCAGGCCATGCGTGGTGCCAAACAGAAGTGTATCTGCGTCCACGAAAGCAAATGAGAAGTTCTCCGGATTTCTATTGGCGTCGACGTAAATTCTGAACTCCCGGTAGTCGACCATTGTGTATTTCTGGCTGGGGTCGTCATCCATCGCGCTTTCTACCTTGGAAAGAAACCCTTCCTTATCCAGATCACCATGGAGAGCAACACCAAGTGTAGGAGAATCCACAGTACCCTCAGACCCTGGATCCTTACCTATTGCAAAAAGCGCCTCCACGTCCATGTATATTTCGGCCCGCTCAATGGAGTTCAGGTCTATGCCAGTCTCGCTCTCAAACTGGCTGAAAACCGTCTCTTCCGAACCATCAAACACCACTTCAAAGAGCGGTGCCAGCACCGGCGAGTCAAGAACTGCAGATGGGTCGACTTCAATGATGAGGGAGGCCCCTTCGGGAATCAGCGATTCCAGGGACGGACCAGCGGCCGGGACGGGCGTGGGTGTCGCCGTAGGATCCGGAGTGGGGGTTGGTGTCGGTAGCGGCGTAGGGGTGGGAGTTGGCTCAGGAGTTGGCGAGTGGGTTCGGGCGTAGGTTCCGAAGCGCAGGCAACAATAACCAAAGCAGCCAGCGCCAATGCGCCCAGAGTAGATCTGGACCGAAGGAAGCGGATTATGGTCATACGGGGCTCCGTTCCCGGAATAGGTTCAATTAATCATCGTATACGAGGAGGAGGGCTCTGTCAGTTATCGTATTGGAGAGGCCGCCGAGATACCTCAGTCTATTAGAGAGGGCGACCGGTCCGGCTGAACTGCCGTGTGCGATTGACCACGGCCTGAGGGCAACCATATACTCTCGCGTACAAGCTGGCTTCCGCTGGCATGCCACTATTTCGTTCGGAGGAGTTCACACTGGAACCTTTGGAAGTGGCCCAGTTTATCGTCGATGTCGCGGCAGACAGGCTTGCCGAGGATATTCTGCTGCTCGACTTGCGCAGCTTGGCGCCCTTCGCCGACTACTTCGTGATCATGTCAGCAGAGTCATCGCGGCAAATAGAGGCTCTGGAAGAAGACCTAACTCAGGCCCTAAAGGACTCTGGTGTAATTCGGCACCGTAGAGAAGGGACGCCCTCCTCGGGTTGGGTGCTGCTCGACTTCAGCGACGTCATCGTCCACATCTTCTCGCCAGAAGAGCGGGAATTCTACGACCTAGAACGATTGTGGCAACGGGCTCCGCAGGTGGTACGGGTTCTCTAGTCGACGGGCTTTCGGGACTTCAGAGAGCCCTCCCGCTCTATTTCTTTGGAGTTCTCTATTCCACGATCCATTCATCGTTGCTACGAGTATATGGATGGATTTCTTCAGGCTGGAAGAATAGGGAAAGCTCCCGCTCTGCCGATCCCGGACTGTCCGAGCCATGTATCAGGTTGCGTCCTATGTCGACTCCGAGGTCGCCGCGAATTGTCCCGGGCGCGGCATTGACAGGGTTTCGTTGTGCCCATAGTGTTACGCACTATCTCCACTGCGTTATTGGCCTCCCATGCCATGGCCACGACGGGACCTGAGGTAATAAAGCTGACCAGTCCGGCGAAGAAAGGCCGGTTAATGTGTTCCCCATAGTGTCGGTGGGCTAGTCCTTCATCGACCTGCATCAGCTTGAGGCCCACCAGCTTCAAGCCCCGGCACTCCAAGCGGGCGATTATTTGTCCGATCAACCCCCGCTGTACACCGTCGGGTTTTACCAGCACAAGTGTTTGTTCCATCGTTCCCTGTCCTCGAAAATATCAGCTCTATGCAGACTCAGCATTGGCTCTGGCTTGGGTCAGCATCCTCGTGCATCAGGCTCCAGACAAGGGCGACTACCCAGCCCACAAATGTCCAGCCCAATAACACGTTTAGCGCAACGATGGCATTCTTGTTGCGCTTGTTCTTGGTTACAGCTATGAAAGACGGCACACAGTAAAGGGCCAAGGCAACAATCGCCAACGCCGCTCTAATCATAAGCCATCCTGATCCCAGCCGTTTTTCGCAAACCCCAGCCCCTTGAAGAGAAGTTCCTAGCCAGGTGCCAATCAGTCCTCGAACGTCTTGCTCAACTGGATCTCAACTCCGCGTCGTTCCATATCCCAGAGAAAGGGAGCTGGATCCAGATATTCTGGAGGATGAACGCCAGGAGCCTGGATTTCACGCGTCAATAGCATCCTGGCTCCGACAGCCAGGGTCGACGCAATGTTATCGGCATCCTCCTCCCCGGGGAAATAGTAGGTCATGGTAAATCGGATCTTGCGGCCGCGAAGCATTCCGGCAACCTGCGCCTGCCTGACCAGCGGCCCTTGCGGTGCATAGTCTCCGAACAGCGAGGTCGCCGCGCCTCCACCCGACCAGATATCGCGGGGCAAGGAAAATAGCACTGAGGCAAACTCAATGGCGGACACGGAACCAGCGGTCGTTTCTACCAGATCCTCCGATCCAAACCCATAATCGATCAGATTCCTTACGATTTCCAGGACCGCGGCATCTCTAAAACCACGATGACTCGAAACGTTGTCCAAGGTGGCTATGCTGGCAGGCAGGGTAACCGGACCCAAGCCCACAGTGCTGCAGAATACGGTGCCTAGCGGACCGGGGAAGCTGATCTCTTTGAATTCGGAAAAGGGAGCCACATGCCGCCAGTCGTTGTCGCGCCATACAGGGCAGTGGCGCCAAAATCAAAAAGCCTGTTTCTCCACTGTCGCAAACTGCGACAGCCTAGGTCATCGGCAAGATAAAAGCTTGCCTCGTCGACCTGCTCCAGTCTCTGCCCCAGGTAGCTGGTGAGTGCGTTAGTTAGGCCCGGAGAAGCCCCCAGTCCAGGAACTGCACTGACCGCCCTATATCCCGCCAGTGCATCAAGATACTGAGAGTCAAACACTGCTTGAAGCGCCTCCGGGTCGCTGCAGGCGTCGACGTACGACACGCCCGCCTCCAGCACACTGCGCATCAATTGGAGCGCCTCGGACAGCGACATCTGAATCGTGTTGACCACCAAGTCTACGTCTTCCAGAATGCGGTCCAGAGGACAGTCTTCCGAAATCTCGAATTTTGCGGACTATGCCTTGCCTCCGCAAGCCTCGGCGGCCGCCGCATGCCCTCTGCGGATCCCTGTCAACGGATATGACTCGCCGGAATGCCAGGTCCTGCCCCAACCGTCGGGCGGTTGCCATACACCACCGATGCCGCACCCCAATAGAAGAGCAGCTCCCTCAGCCACGACGCCTCAGCAATTGAGAGGATCTCCGTGCGGTTGTAACATCATAGGCGACTTGAATCGAGCCGCTGTCATCCTCAACAGTGGTCAGCTTCATGTGCGTTGACGGGCGCCTCGCGGTATTCTTGCCGACGCCTGCGGCGTGCGGTCACGTCTCTTTGGAGTCCCGATGCTTGGCATCCGTAGGTAGTACGGGTTCAATTGATCAAGATCGTCTGTTTCCCCCTTCTCCAATCTTTTCACGGCCATCATCGCCAAGGACTCAGCTCTGACCGAGGGAGGCACAAGGCAAAGGACTGCCCTTTCGCCCAGACGCTTCTTTATCATCTCCGTCCAAGGCGCCAGGCCCTCCCCACAAAAAAGCGTAGCACCGTCTCCTGTCCCTTCTAATTCTCCAAGCAACTCTTCGGGCCCCGTAATGCGGTCCTCACGTAGTCGCGTTGGTTCCGGACCTGAAGAAATCAGCGCCGACGCCGCCTCTCCCCGTCCGGCTTCGACCAGGGCGCATACATTCAGTCCCGTCTCTCTATACGGAAATGCCTCCAGATCCAGGCTGCCAATCCCTATGATCGGAATCTTCGCGGAAATGGCTAGGCCTTTAGCGACACTTAGACCAGCGCGCAAAGCACTGAAGCCTCCGGGCCCAAGGGCAATCGCCACTGCATCCAATGAGTGAGGAGTAATCTCGCGGCTCGTTAAAATCTGCATCAAAGCAGGCATAAGCTCAGAGGAATGGTTGACCATTGACAGCCATGAACGGCTGGCAACAACTTGCGTTCCGTCGCTCAGGGCAACCGCGGCGTTCCTGGTGGAGGTATCGATAGCTAGAAGCATAAGCCGGCTAAGCGATGTGGACGAAAAATGAACCGAGAGCGGATTTCAATTCGGCAAGCAACTCATCAAATCTGGCGGACTCGCTTTCGAGTACTATCCGGCGACTCCCGTCTACTTCCCCATATCCGAATTCCAGCCAGACTGCGTTATCGGGCAACAGTTCCTCCGCTCGCTCAGCCCATTCGATGACGCAGACCCCACTATCGAAGAGCTGTTCGTCCAGGCCGAGATCCCAAGCCTCTTCAGGGCTGCTGATACGGTAGAGGTCAATATGTGCAAGGTCAAGCGACCCTTGTGCCGCGTCATCAGCACAAAGGTCGGGCTCCGGACGTAACCTTCCACCCCAAGCCCCCGTGCCAGACCCTGCGTGAAGCAAGTCTTACCCGCCCCCAGCGGACCACTGAGGAGGAACACGTCGCCGGGTTGGGCACGCTCCCCTACGGCGTAACCGAGGAGCTGGGTCTCCTCAGGACTGTCCGTCTGCAGGATGAGCGTACTGCGTTCTCTATCCTCAGAGTTCATTTCTAGCTCTGGGTCCCCTCAGCACTCGGGTTTGAATCACCGGAGGTGGTCCCAGCCTCTGCCCGAAAGCAGAATCTCAACACCGTCGTCGTTCATCAGTGTTACCCGCCCAGCTTCCTTGGGGTCGCCTACGGCCTCGATCGTCCCAATGACGCCACTGCCCTCTCCCAATTGCGGAATCAGTGACTCAACAGCGTCCGACGGCCCGGTAAACAGAAGCACGTAGTCCTCGCCTCCACCCAACGCAAGATCGAGGTAATCGAGAGGAAACTGCCGTCGCAGCATACCGTGAACTGGAATTTCGTCTGCCTGTATGCGCGCCGAGGCTCCTGATGATACACACAGCTTACTCAGGTCGTCTGCCAGGCCGTCGCTGACGTCCATGGCGGTGGTGATGCCGACCTCTGCCAGGATCTGTCCCTGCCGCACTGCCGGAACGGGACGGCGGTGGGAGTGCACCAGAAAGCACGCAGCCTCCGTGGTAGAACCTGACCTTCCAGCAGGAGCCGGAGCCCGCCACCGGAGCTGCCCACGTAGCCGCTGACCGCCACCGCGTCACTCAGGGCGGGCCTTGGAGCGCAGCATTGGCGAGCGTTGAGTCACTCCGACCAGGGCGGTGGTTACAAAAAGGATAGGGCGATCCGACGATGTCGCCGCCTACGATGGCCATGCCGTATCGCGTCGCCGATTTCCAGCATTCCGCGATACATTTCCTCGATGTCGGCTACCTCGGTCTCCGGAGGGAGGCCAAGGGTTATCAGGGCGTAGGTTGGCAGGCCTCCCATGGCCGCGACGTCGCTGATGTTAGCAGCTATGGCCTTCCAGCCCAAATCTCGCCAGGCGAGTCGTCTGTCGGGTGAAGTGGATGCTTTCGACCACAGTGTCGGTGGTGAACAGTTCGCGTCCCTCGCCCGCCTGCCAGCCGCGGTGTCGTCGCCTGTGTCCACCAAGAGCGGAAAGTCGCGGACAGCCTCATTCACCTCACCACGCCCGACAACCATGCGGTTGAGCCGCTTCGATGACCCCGAATTCGCCTATGTCTCTCACCTGCATTGTCCTGCGATTATAGCCCATTGGCGGTTATCCAGGCGCAATTACAGTCAATCGGTGCCGTAGAGACAAATTGGCAACAAGGCGATCGCGTTTCAGCAGAATCCTGCTATGCAGGGGTTCATCATCGCCGTAGACAGGGTCTGCACGGTTTGGTTTTTCTTTCGGGCAGGGTGAGAATTTTCAAATTCTGCGGGCAAACCGGACGGTTGGCCAGGCGTCCGGAGGCATAAGCCGGCCTATCGCGTGGGAATTTTGGGACAGGAGATTTGGCCTTTTTGTCCCATTTAGTCCCATTTTCACCTGTCCGCCAGCTACGAATTGGGCCGCGGGTGACTGAAATTTTGTTTCCCGTCCCATTCTGTCCCATTGTGTCCCATCTGGTTTGTCCGGCCCGGCGACGGAGCTGATGGGATGCTTTGAGGGACGTAAGTCAGGGATCATGCACAGGGTTCATGGTAGAGAGGTGTCATGAGGCTTGGCAAGGAACAAGTGTAATCAAAACGCAATTGCCCTGAGATCGGTGGCAGTTGACAATCTGATTCTGAACTAATTAGTATTCGACATCGTCTCCGGCGTAGCAAGCATGTTTGTGAATTTCGTAGACATTGCAACGGGATACGCCGCGACGCTATCAAGGTCATTTAGATTTTTGGGAAGTACCGGATGATAAACGTTAGGCTGTTCCAGATTGTTACTCTTGTGTCTGTGTTGGCGCTGCTGAGTTTGCTCGCAGTGGCCTGCGGTTCGGACCCCACCTCAGAACCCGCCCCTGAGGCGACTGCGGTGCCAGCAACCACCGAGGCCATGGAACCTACTGCGATGGCAGAGGAACCTGAGCCGACGGAGGCGATGAGCTCCACTTCCGGCAGCGATGAACCTACGGAAGAACCCACCCGGGTCCCAACACCCACGCCGGCACCAACCCTTGAAGCCACCTCCGACGAGGTCTTCGAGTTGAAGTTCAGTTCGCCGCTTTCTCCTCCCCCGTTCCTCATGAGCGAGGTGCAGAAGTGGTGGGCCGACGAGGTCGAACGGCGCAGCAATGGCCAAATCGAGTGGACTGACTTTTACTGGTCGGGCGCACTGACCAAGGCCGGCGAAACCCTAGAGGCGGTTGAGGTCGGGCTCGCAGACGCAGGGGCAGTTATTTACCCGTACTACCCCGGCAAGCTGCCATTGGGCAACTGGACCTACGCTGTCCCCTTCGGCCCCGGCGACCCGCATGTGATCCTGGAAGCAACCCAGAGGTTGTATGCAGAGGTTCCTGATCTTCGTAACGAAATTGAAGCCTACAATATAGTGTTCCTGATGCCGTCGGTCATTGACACCTACAACCTTACCTCGAAGGATCCATCGTCACCTTTGAGGATTTCGACGGCATCAAGATTGCACTCCATCGGCTCATATCACCCCGAAGATTCTGGAGGGCGCCGGGGCGCACGGCCATCGCCATGCCGTGGCGGACCGTTACCAGGCGTTGCAGACCGGAGTCATCGAAGCCGAATTCTGCCTTGGGACATCTCTCACGCCTACAAGTACCACGACTTCAACAAGAACATAACCTGGGTCACATGGGCGCGGCCATGCCGACGGGTCTGGGCGTAAACAGGGAGATCTTGGGACAGCCTGCCTCCTCACCTTGCAGCAGCTTATGCTGGACGTGGCTGACGAAGCCGTGCAGCTCAACGCACTCTGATTCTGGATCGGCGCAACGCGGCCTTGGCGGAATGGGAAGAATTGGGCATAACCCGCCACGAAATGGCCGATGAGGACCGGGCACAGTGGGCGGACGCCTCGATGACATTCCGGGCGACTGGATCAAGGAAATGGAAGATAAGGGACTGCCCGGCAGCGAGGTCATGGTCACTTACATCGAAATACTGGAAGAACTGGGGCACACGTTCCCCAGAGAGTGGGCCGCCGACTACCGGTAGGCACCGGTGGATTGCTCTCCGAAAGTAGGGGCAAGGTCTGAAGCCCTGCCCTACCCCCTGCGGTGAGGATTGAAATGGAATTGCGATCGGTAGGCCGTTGGCTGAACTGGCTGCTGGGCTGGGTGGTTAACACCAGCGCTTTCGGGGCGGCCAGCATCGTCGTCATTCTGATGGCGCTGGTGTGTTTCCGACATCTTTGGCCGCAAGGTGCTGAACAAGCCAATACCGATGTCCTACGAAGTCGCAGCGTTCATGCTGGTCTTCATCGTATTCATGGGCTTGGCTTACAGCCAGAGCAGCGGGCGCACATCCGGGTAGAGTTTCTTACCCTTCGGATGTCCCCCAGGGGTCGCGCCATCATGGACCTGTGCGCTACACCCTGGGAGTTGCCATCTACGGGGCAATCTCTACCAGACTTTCAAGTGGTCCTACCACTCCTTCGAAATCGGGGAGCACGTTGCCGGTCTGATCAACATACCCAAGTGGCCTTCGCAGTTCGCCTTGTCTTCGGGGCGCTGCTCCTGTCCTTGCAGTTTCTTTCCGACTGGGTTTACCGCGCGTCCGAGGTGGTGGCAATGTTCCGTACACCCAGCGCGGAGGCGGTCCCGGAACCCGAACCACTATCCATCGAGCCGGTCGGGGAGCCGGCCACGCCCGACTAGGCAGGTCCGGGGCAACCTTTCGCTTTTGACAAGATCAGGATAAACGGTTGAAGGTCATTTAGCCTGTAGCAAGGTTTGGGAATGGACGATCTCTACTGGGGCATTATCGGCTTTGTAGCGGTTCTCGGTCTGATGTCGCTGGGCATCCATGTGGGGCTGGCGCTGGCCACTACCGGATTTGTCGGTATGTTCGTGATGACGGGCAAGGTGTCGCTCGCGCTCGCCCTGTTTACCACCACTCCCTACTCCACCACCAACGTCTACGCCTTCGCCATCCTGCCCCTGTTCATCCTCATGGGGCTGTTTGCGATGCACGCGGGCCTGTCGGCGAGAGCGTTTGACGCGGCCTACAAGTGGGTAGGCAGACTGCCGGGGGGCATGGCCATCGCCACCACCTGGGCCAACGCCATGTTCGCCGCCTGCACCGGCTCAAGCGTGGTGGCCTGCGCCGTTTTCACCCGCATCAGCCTGCCCGAGATGCACCGAAGGAACTACGACAAGGCCTTCGCCTGCGGCACCATCGCCGCCGCCGGAATGCTGGGGATGCTGATACCGCCCAGTGCGCTGATGATTGTCTACGGGATTCTGACCGAGCAATCCATTGGCAAGCTGCTCATCGCGGGCGTCGGGCCGGGAATTCTGCTGACCCTCATATTCACCGCCGGCATTGTGCTGGTGGCCATCCGAAATCCCGAGCGCGCCCCCAGGGCCGACTACGCGCCACCCTTCATGGAGAGGCTCAAGGCCACCGTGGGCATAGTCGGCATAGCGGTCCTGGTACTGGGCATCATCACCGGGATGTACACGGGCATCTTTACGCCCACCGAGGCCGGAGCAGCCGGAGCAGCCGGGGCCTTGGTGCTGGCCCTGATTGCCCCCTTCCTTGAAAGGTGGGTATTCCGCAC